GAAGATTTGTGTAATTGTATATAATCCGATGTCTGAAAATAAAGTGACGAAGTCCCAACTTTATATAAAACGAAAATAGCTAACCGGTCAAAAATCTCTTAAAACCCAATTTCTACTCGATCCATTATTTTTTTTACCAACCTATGCCGACCCGCTAATGAAATGGAAATACTAGTCCCAACTTGATATAAAACAAAACGCGCTAACTGGTCAAAATCACTTTTTAGAACTCGATTTCAACCCGATCCAATTTAACCAATTACCAAACTAACCCGAACGATTTTAGCACCAAACCGAGTATAAACCGAACCGATATGAATCGAACTAGCATTAACCCGGGTAAACCCGCCACTGAACCGACCCATTTCAAAATAATTCGTTCATGACCCGAACCGATATGAACCCGGACCGACGTTGACCCGATAAAACCGCCCCTGAACCGATCCGTTTCAAACCGGTCAGATCATGACCCGAACCGTTTATAAACCGAACGGGCATTGACCCGGGTAAACCCGCCCCTGAACCGACCTGTTTCAAACCGACCCGATTATTAACCGAACCGTTTAAAAATCGAACCGGCATTGACCCGAGTAAATCCGCCCCTGAAGCGACCCGTTTCTAACCGATCTGATTATGACCCGAACTGTTTATAAACCGAACCGTTTATGACCCGAACCGAATTTAAATCGTACAAAAATAAACCAAAACCGAACCGACCTGTGACTAATCAAAACCGAACAGAACCGACCCGCCGTCTAAATGAAACCGTTTTAACCCGAACCGTTTCAAACCGAAACCGTTTCAAACTGAGGTCAAACCGAACTGTCAGACCGAAATCCCACCCCTAGGGTGAACATAAAGTAACAAAACGACTAGCATTAATAACTTATGAGAGAGATGTATACATACCACTAAATCTAGAAAAAATAAGGCTAATAGCTGGCATACCTATCAAAAATAGAAGTGCCCAAGTTGCTCACTGTTTGAATACAGTGGTGCAACACTTTCAATAACGTCATGCCACACATAATATAAATACTACGTACTACATTGGCAAAGAACAATAACAAGCCAGGTATGAAACACTTAACACTTACACCCAAGGCGACGTTCTTTTACCACAAAAGCTTCACTAACTGCTTCTCTTTACATTCACTCCAACAGTATACTTGAATTATCAGTGAACTGAATGTTAACAATATCTGAAACTCCTTTTTTGAGAGTAATCACACTTTTTCCAGCTAAAAGGGGCCTTCTGCCTACCGTCTCACGGAGCACATAATCCTGGAAATTCTTTATGGTGAAGACATCAATGCCGTCTACTTCAACATGACCATCAAGAACAACAATCCTTACTTCAGCACTTTCTTCTACAATGCTCCCAGAATCATCTCTCAAAATTACTTTCATTAAAACCCCTTCATCTTCCAAACTTCTATTAGTGAATATTGTTTTACCAATTTGGCCCTCAAAATGCAATTGCAAACTCCTTGATCTGTGTAGATCATCCATATAAAACAACACAAATGCCAAAAGTACCAAGTCAGACTTTCTCTAGTGAAAATAAAGGACAAATCATACTCACTCCTATTTAAAATACTTGCTCCATTTTTACTTTTTGCACTATTCATTTAGAATAAGTATATAACGGGTGTACATGAATTTTATTGTAAAACGATCAGTTTGAGCGTAACTTTAACTATTTTTATGGTAGTTTTAACTATATAAAAGTTAACTTTTAATTTGTCGTTGGTTTGAATTTTATTTTAATGTGTAATTTCTTATAGATACATGATTACATATTATAAAGACTAATATGATTAATCTAATACATTATAAGTTTTTTGTAAGATAAAATTTATTAATAGAAAAATAATAACTTTTACATTATATAGGGTAACTTTAAGTACTTTTAACATAATTTTAACCCGTTTTACAATTAATTAACGTACACCCGCCTTTTTGGAGAATTTGTGATTTATCTGTCATACTTTGACTAATGTGTTTAATTTATACATAAGAAAAAATATAGTCTTATGGGTACTTGTTAGAATCGTCTCAATGAATAAATTATTAATTTTCAATTGTTAGAATTTATACTTATTAATAATTAAAGATATTATTGATCAAATATTAGCATCGGCATACATGCCCAAAAGAAACGAAGCAAGTAATAGAGAGGAAGTAATAGAGAATATACCCATATAAGTCATTTTACTCATTAATTTAGGGATAACTTTGTTCTTTCATTGCTTTTTTTTTTCTCCCTCCTCAATCGCAGCCATTTGAGTAATTTGACTTTCTTAATCCACCCAAGCAGCTTCACACCACACTAATGCCACCACCTATAATGTTGCAGAGCTCAATTACTAACTAATATCAAAAACAGAAAAGGGAGGAAAGAGAAAGAAGATTGTACTCGTACTAATTAATGTTTGGATGATCAATACAATATACAGGCTAGCTTAGGTATAGTTAATTATCAGGATGTAATCAAACTAATTACAATTCTGTTATAGCTTTTTAATAACCGTAATAACTTCACAATTGACTGACTGATTTTACAAACTGAACTCCTCTATCATATTACACTTCATCATATGCACGGGTCATTAACTTAAGGTTCACAGTACAGTTTGACCTCATGACTTCAAGGATGTAAGTGACCCACAGCTAATTACACCAAACTCTGCTTAATTGGTACTTCCTCTGTCCCTTTATTTTTGCCCCATTGTCATTTTTTGGGTCAAATTTTAAAAACTTTGTCCATAAATTACCATTAATCAATAATAGATAATATAGTCATGAGTGGTCTTATTAGATTCGTCTCATTGTATATTTTTAATCATATCACAATGATGAGTGATAGAAAAGACAGCAAGATGAGTGGGAGATAATAAGAGGAGAATTAGAATTCAAGTAATGATTATTTGAAGAGAGTGAGTAAATTATAATGATTATGTTTAATTATGGCATAAAATACACTAAGACCCTGTTTACTTCACCTTATTTTTGCTGAATTGAAATTAATTTTACTGAACTGAAAATATTTTTACTGATTCTCTATTATATTTCTTCTTTAGAGTTACTAATTTTTGCTAAACTGAAATTATTTTTACTGAATTGAAATTATTTTTTAAGGTGAAATGAACAGGGCCTAAGTTTATTTTAACAGTGAAGATTCACTCTTTTTTGGTTGATTTTTTTTTTATATATTTAATTATGAGAACGAGGAGCAAGCCCCAAACAAAGCAAAAGGAAAACTAAAGAAAACAAAATAGATAATGACTCAACTAAAAGAAAACGAAAAAAGCAGAAATTAAACTACTAAACTACTAGGTTGAACTCCAATAGAAACTAAGGTGCAATGAAGGACACCCTCCTCGGCCTCGTAACTCCCCTTAAGGACTCAAGTCCTCCAATAAAACGGTTCGAAAACGCTTCAGGACCTCCTCAAAGAAGACAATATTTTTTATTCAACGTCACCCCAAAGTTAGCCAACCAGTCATCAGCTGTTGAGTTACCTACTCTACACCAATGTCCAATTGTAAGCTCCCCACCACGCTTGGCAATTAAGGACTTACACTTGTGAATCAAGAAAAATAAGGAGAATTAGGAGGAATAGGATCCACCAACATGTGCACAATTGCTCCGAATCAACCTTGACCTGTATCCATAAATTGGGCCATGTTTCCCGAGGGAGGCCGCCTTCTCTCAGGGCAGCAGTCGACTAGAAGTAGAAGACTGAGCGTAGACGGGCGAGCAGAGCCCAAGAAAGAGGGAAGCCCTCATAGAGTCTAGCATTCCAAGCGATAGCTAGGCCTTACAAGAAAAACCAAGAGTTGAGAAATCATTTTTTTTTTTTGAAGGGACATCCGCACAAACTGCACTTGTTCTAGGGTAATTCTTATGAATAATTAAGACTCTTAGGGTCTGTTCTGTTTACCTTATTTTAACTTATTGCAGGTGTAATAAGTTTAGATAAGTCCAGTTCAGGAAAAATAAGTTCTATTAAAGGATACCAAGTATAAATTACAACTAAAATAAGTTTTGATAAGGTCTAATAAGTTCAGATAAGTTCGAATAAGTTTAGATAAGTGAAAATCAGGTGAATAGAACATAGTGTTATTTTGATCACCGAAGTCACATTGACAGTTTGTAAGGCTTCTAGTTTAACCATATGTCACATTGACTTTTTCAAGACATCATTTGCCAATGAAAGCATTTTTTACACTCCTACGTTCTCAAATAATTGTTATGTACTTCTAAATAATTCTTTTGTTATCGTACGTTGAAAACTTCACTCATCCAATCCATTTCCTCAAAAAAAAAAAAAAAAAAAAAAAAAAAAAAACCTCATCCAACACATGTGATGTGGGTCCCTCAATTAATTAGCTCTCTTTCATTCTTTTCTTCGTATCTCATGTGATGTGGAATCTTCTACTTATGTTTTTTCCCCAATCATTTTTTTTCTCTTTACCTTTCTTTTATCTGCAAAAAAATACCTGTATTAATCTCATACGATGTGGAACCTTCTACTAATCCCTACCTTATAAAAAGTATAACATAACTCTTAGGAATAGTGTACTACCAACTATACCCTAAAAAAATGTGTATTTACATTTTTACCCTCATTAATGTGTTTACCCTCATTGATATGTTTAATGTTTTATTTCATTAAATATATCATCAATTAATTCAAAGTTATTTTTTTTAACAAAAAACTTGTAATGCTTTTTATTTTTATTTTTGAATAAAAAAAATTCTAATGTTTTATACTTCGTATGTTATTATTATTATTATTTAAAAAGAATTGTATGTATGAAGAGACTGTTTATTACCAAGAGACTATTTATTTTTACTATGAAGAGACTGTTTATTACCAAGAGATTGTTTATTTTTACTCCTTCGCGGTTGCTTTTCTTATTTATAATCTTGTCATCATTTAACTGCAACTATTGGTAAGGTTTATTAGCTTTTACTCCATAAAAATGTTTGATGGCACATAAACAACGTTATGGATTTGTGAATGAGATTCATATTATATTATGATATTTCAGTATATGTTCAAGAGGTATAAAGAAATTAAAAATCCTAAATAAAGGGAAATCGATGATAGAAAAGAAAAAAAAAAACTAGTATTAATTATTGGAGAGAAAATGAAGGAATTTAAGAGGAAAAATATAACTAAGTGGTTATTGTTTTAGTATTAGATATAAATAGTCACAACACATTAAAGAATTTACATCATTAAGTTTTTAGACACAACATTATTACTTCGTATGACCTAAGCTCACAAAAAAATCATCCGAACAACACCACACTGGAAATATTATACGAAGTATCATTAAAACATGCACATCAATTAGATATTCTTTAATAATAATTCTGGAATAGTACCATCAAACATTAGAGGGTTTTAAAAAATAATCGTCATTAAAAATTTTGGTGGCTTTCAATCCCTTCTACAAAGCCACCACATAGACGCATAAACCAAATAGTAAATATTAAAACTACCACCTAAACCAAAGGTTTAAACACAAGTCAATATAAATTTTCCGCAAGAGCTAGCCCCTCCACGTGCATCGAGCACATAGACCATCTTAGTAAATAAGGAAATTGTGACATGTGGTAATGGTTTGTATGTAAAGTTGGCACTCATGTACTCCTTTAACTTTTTGATGCATTCTCTTACAAAAAATAAAATAAAAAAATAAAATAAAATAAAAATAAAATAAAAAATATTTAAGACTAATCATATATAATTTTGATTAATCAGGTCTAATCAAGTCTAATAACTTTAGTTCGAACAAAGTAAGGTGAATAAAAGTAAACTCACACTAAGTCATTTTATGAACCACGATTTAGTGTTCAAACATGTACTCCGTATGTTGCTAACGAACACCTTGAGACGTTAGATAACAATTAAATTATTCTAAATGAGTATGTGTAATTATTTATTCCAATTAGTATATCCACCTTTTTGCCTTTAAAGTTTTAAACATCTGTTCATCCTTTGCAACAACTACTTATAGCCCAAGTCGAAGCTCCAAAGCGCCAAACACCACACTCATTCATTCGAACATTCAAGTAAGAAGACTAAGAACTCAGTCAAAAATGGCCTCCAACGATCATCCACGCCGTATCATTCGCAATTTTATTCCTATACAAGTTTGTAAGGTACCACCTCATTCACTTTTCTTCAATTCCCTTTAATTTTTTCACCATTTTTTCACAAATTTCTTGAAATTGATGATATTAGGAGCTGGAATTCATTCACAAGAGCAATTGTACAGTTGGGTATAGACCAAATGTCTTCTCTACTACTCTCTCTCATCTCATTGCCACCAATTGCGCCCATCTTATTATGCCTTTCATCCCAATTCGAGGTTTTAACATGTTCCCAGATTTTGTTTCAATTTAATTTTGCCCTTTTTTGTGTTTTTGATTGATGGGTTTTCTTCGTTATTGTTTTATTTTAGAGAAATTGAAGGAGAAAGTTGAGGAAGTGTTTGATTGTGAGTATGAGTTGTTTATTGAATTCACTGGTTTGATTAGGTGAGCTTTTAACTAACATTTCTGAGCAATCTTTTGAGTTTCATATTAGATTTAATTTGTTGACTTACATTTTTGTTCTCCCTGTAATTTATTTATATTGGATGATTGGTATATTGATGTGGATGGAGTTCAAATGTGAGTAGGTATTTGTTTATATTTTACTGTTTGATTGAATGTTTGGAAATGGAGGAAGGTTTGTATGTTGGGTTATTTTGCACTTTCATGGGGTGGAACCTTGGAAGGAATATGCTCCGGCTCGAGCATTCGAATTAAGAATTGAATCTTGATAATTTGTTATTGTTTTCTTCGTTGTTGTGTGGATTTGACAACCATTACTTGGTGCACTAGTATGTTCATTCACACGATTGTGTACCTAAATTAAACCCATGCTATTTCCCTGAATTGTGGTTAAAGTTTGTCTTAGGGGTTTTGATCCCATCCATTGAATAGTAAACTCTATGATATGGGAACTCATTTATGTAGTTTTGTAAAATTGATGTGATTTATCTTCAATGAGTAGAATTGTGTAAACATATACTTGTATGACTTATTTGATAAAATTTAATCATACCAAAATTTTGTCTCGACTTTAGCGTGTACTTCCTTTAATTTCTATTTGTACATCAGCAAAATTCCAAACTTCAGCTAATTAGAAACATTTGATGAACATCTTTAACCTGATAGATGCGATGTGAAAGTAGGCTTGGATCTAATACTTTCTAAGTTGAAATACTTATGGAATGTGAGTGGATATTATTAGAGATAGTGTCAAAGCCATGCCTTGACCTTATCTTTGTGATATATATTCTGCTATATATCTTCCTACGTAGTAGTATAGATAGAGCATATAGCCATATAGTATCTTTGACCTGCTCTATGTTTGTAATTGTCTCTTATTATAAATCTCTCACGCTAGCTATACATAATATCTTTGTTCCAAAATATTGTATTTTTTTCCCTAAGTTAGACCATCTCACTTATTTTACAAGATACTTGTAACATATATTGTATACTTGTTTTTCATGTAGATGAATGAATTATACTTCAACACTTTCATGGTATAAGAGCAAGGATACATTTTACTTTTTCCATCTTTTTTAGTTGACAAATTTCTTTTGTCACATTTGCCAACGCAGAAGTTCAATGATTGATATTTCTAATTATCAATAAGTAAAAATTGTAAAAAGTTGGTATTATGAAAATATATATAAAGACGATTATAACAAGATCCTAAATGACTGTGTTATATAATAACTATAACTATAAATCACAAAAGTTAGTCAAAGCAGAATTTGTAAATACTGTCAAAAGTAAAAACATGTAAACTAAAAAGAATTGAGGAAGTATAATACAAATACAAATATCTTGATAGATTAATGAGATTACTTAACTAAGGAAGCAAATAATCTCTTGGACTAAAGATATTATTTACAACTAGCATAAAAAATAAGAGAAGATTACAAATTATAGGATTAAAGATTATATATGCTCTAGCTATACTAGGAAGATTTATAACATAATATATTTTATAAAGATAATGCCAAGACGTAGTTTTGACATTATCTATATTAGATACTTCCTCCGTTTCTATTTAGTTGACGCGTTCAATTTAGGTATCCATATTAAGGAGATGAGAGAGAATGATAAAGCAAGTGGGGTACACTAGTAAATGTAAGGTATAAAACTTATCTAAAAAGAAAACGTGTCAACTAAAAACAAACTTCCTAAAAAGGAATACGTGTCAACTTAAAAAAATGGAGGTAAGTATATGTTTCATTTAGATAGTATTATTGGTAGTTAGAAAGCTTTTTGGTCTTACTAGTCACTATGATGTAATAGAATTGGAAATTTGAGCTGGTATTGGTTAAGATGGCAATGAATGAGGATTGGATTGCTTTGGTCATCCTAAGTTCTCAAGAGATCCACATGCAACATCAATTAATTTCTTTCTTTGCTCAAAGATCTGTTACTAAGTAATACCACATTCATCTTATGGGGTGTTTGGTTAGGGCTTTTGGAATGGGTTGGAATGGAGTCAAATCCATTCCAATGTTTGGTTGGACTTTTTATGCTATGGAATCTCATACTATTAGTATGAAACTCCATTCCAACCCCTTACAATCTCATACCCACCTCACCCCTAAGATTCTAAATCCATTCCACCATAGACATAAACCCTACAAATTCATTCCAATCTTAACCAAACAAATTTAACATGGTGTAGAGTTCCCAATCCATTCCACCTTGGTATGGACTCCCAATCCATTTCTTTCTATTTGGTTTAACCAAATGAACCCCTAGTATTCTGTGCTTCTACTAAATTTATTGAGAAACTACATTGTTAATTTTGCAATCATTTCTAATAACAGAAGCTCAAGATGTAAGTAGCTAATCTTATCTCTTTTCCATCCTAATATGTCAGTCCATATCATTTTGATGTTGAGAAAACGATTGTAACTTATCCTAGATTTTTTTTTTCTTCTTTTTTTATGAGCACCTTTTCCTAGTATAACACTATAACTCATGAAACTCTTGTGTGCCAGCTGGAATGAGGGAGCAAGTATTGGGTGGCATAGTGATGATAACAGATCTTATCTCGAACAGCGTGACTTTACGGTGTGTATGCAGTCCTTTGTTTCTTGATAATTGCTTGTTTTGAGTTGGTAAATATATTGTATATTTGGTATTTGAAGTTGATCTGCTTATGATACCTGCCATCTAGGAAATTTTGTTGGACATATTTAAACTCGCCCATACCCTAGTCTTGGGAATGTGCGTTTGTCTGATAAGTCATCAAGCAGTTCGTAGATTATCACTTATCAGTCATGAAGTGAATCTGCTGCAGCACTGAACTCCAATTCAATCATGCATCTATATATATATATATAGGGGAAGGCTCTCGTTAGAACCCCTCCTTTATGTGAAAACTCTTTCTTATGTGAAAACACTTTTTATGTTCTGAATTTTTACTCGTATGTTCTAAATTTTAAATCTGATGTTCTAAACTTTTCCGCATGTGTTCTAAATTAAATAGGATGTTCTAAATTAGTACTCACATGTTCTAAACCATAAATTAGTTAAGTTTGATGTTATAAATTTTAAATAACTTGTTCTAAAATTTTAACTTATATGTTTTACATTTTAAAACGTGTGTTCTAAGATTTTTAATCATACGTTCTATAATTTAGAGTATATGTTCTAATTTCTATTCATATGTTCTAAATTTTACTCGTGTTCTAAATTTTTATTCACATGTTTTAAATCTTAAACCAAATGTTTTAAATTTCATAAAGCAGATTTCCTTAATTTTTACTCACATGTTCTAATTCTTAAATCAGATTTTCTAAATAATTACTCATACAGATGTTCTAAATTATTACTCATATCATATGTTCTAAATTTTAATTTGAGTCACATGTTCTAAATTTTAGATAGTTCTCATATAAGTATGTGTTCTCACATATGGACCTATTCTCACCGGATCCCTCCCCTACATATATACACATAAGTGTGTGTGTGTGTGCGCGCGCGCGCGTGTGCGTGTGTGTGTGTGTGTGTGATTCTTACGAACGGTTTCCCCAGTTTGCTGCTGATCTAATGAACTGTTGCTGTTGAAATATTTTCCCATTTAATATATGTATATCGAGTTAGTGACACATCACTCCCTTTCTATGAAGGCAGTCTGCTATTTAAACAGCTACGGTCAGGATTTTAGTGGCGGCATGTTTCACTTTCAGGATGGGGAGCCTACAAATTATCTGCCAAAGGCTGGGGTAAGCCAATCTTCATGATTGCTTTTTATGAATTTAGTTTTAAGTGCTGGTGCATCAAGGTTTTGATTATCAATCTGCTTCCACTGTCAGTATCTATAGCCATTATACTTGTAATTATTTTTTTAATTGAATCTTGGAAAATGTCTCTCAGTCTTGCTTCTAGTAAACTGTTCATGTATTTGGCTTCCTAAAGTACTCTATCTTGACATCTGATTATTGTTTCTTTCAGGATCTAGTCGTGTACTCTGCTGACAACCGCAACATACATTGTGTTGATGAGGTATATAACATCTGATGTAGACATGTGGTATATGCACAAGCACAACCATAATTAGTTTTCTGAAAATTTCAAGTTTTTAGTCCTATTATCCTAGGAAATTTTTCTATTAGGCCATGAATGTTTTTATGCCTTACGCTTCGGGTAGCCTTACTGCAGTAAGACTGATTTGATTTTCTTAATTCATCTGTAATTCAAGGTTTAGGTGAAAATCGCCCTATTTCTAATATGTAGGCATTTATTGTTGGAGGATTTTTTATTGGGATGAATTGTATTCCAAACTTTTGAACACTGTATCCAACAAAAAAGGTTTTTTTTTTTTTTTTTTTTTTTTTTCTTCCTTCTGAAAGACTGAAACTCTCTGCACATCGTGTGATTACTTGATCTGACAACTGCATTGCTTCAAGATTTATGTGGCAGCCACCATGTAACTAAGATGCACTCCTATCAACAAATAAAGTAACCGGAAGATTTTTTGTGGACATCCTCTTATTCGTTGGGATGTTACTTGATCTGTCTTTTGATTTGAATTTTGCTTGGGTATGACAAAACGCTGTATTGCAGATAAATGATGGAGAACGACTTACATTAACACTCTGGTTCAGCCGCAATAGTTCATTTGATGAAGATGCTAAACTCGTTTCACTCTTGACTCAGAGCATATTAAATAACGAGTCTGCTTCATGCATTCCCTTACCAGCACCTAGCAATATGTATTGGTTTTCTTTAGACCAGGGTTCAGATCATCAACAAGGCTATGACATATGCTTTGCAAGATTATTCATTTTGGGATTTAATATCTATACCACTCAAGGAATGACTTGTTTTTCAGAAAAGCATATTCTAGAGAGCTCTGATGTACTCATGAAACCATTGAAGCTGGTTAGGGGAGACAACTTATATTGCCAAGAATTTGCCAACCTGTTGCATGCCCTCCAGGTAACTTTTTCCAGTTGTAATCTGAAATATTATTTTTGTACTGAAATGAAATGCAATTAAGATTTGACATGACTACACGGTAACACAGTTTGCTTTAAGGTATGAGATTTTAGCATTCATTGGGTAGTGAGAGGGTCCTTTACGCATTATTTTGGGTCTTTGATAATAGTAGAAATTTTGCAATTTAGGGTTTGATGGCTTCCATATCCAGGAGTTTTTTTAATAATCTTGCAATATGGTGGGAAGTTATCTTATTATTAGAACTTGCTACATATATAAGAACATTAATAGATCGATATTATCTAGGGCTTGTATTTGTTGAGATGCTTTTGTTGTCGAGCCCCCACAAATGGTTCTTTAGGCCTTTAGGGTACATCATGCTTGCTGTATGCCTGTTTCACAAACACGTCAGTGTATCAACATAATTTTAAACTCCATAAATTATGGCTTTGATTGTTAATCTGTTTGTTGATTGTTCTCTGTTTTACATGTTATATGTACCTCTTCATAAGCCCGATGCCTATGGTTCCTGAATTCAATACACTTTGATTCACTTTATATGCATTTCTTTGCTATATCTAAGCAGGCTGTACAATATTACGTCTGGAAACAGCCTGCCCTGCAACAATCAGAAGTTACCATGGGTACTAGTGATATTGTACTATTATCTGAAGAACAAAAGGAGATTGTTCACGAGCTAAGATCTGTTTTCTTGGGCACTAAGACAACTTTTTGTGATTCATATCCTGCCGGGAGCAGCAGGGAGTTTCATTTTGACTGGGCTTGCTTTTCTGCTGCTATAGCATCATGGAAAGAAGACACATTCGAGTTGCATAAGCAGTTACTAATGCATTTACCTTTCTGGAAAGACTATCGATCTTTATTTTCTATATCCTCTTTAGTTGTTGAGAAATAAATTTAAATGTCAAAATTTTAGTGCTATAATAGAGTCGAGTTTTCTTGTTTCATGTCTCAGTTATTTCTAGATGGATCTCCTATTTTTATACACTTATGCTTATATACTCATCTTCTTTTGTTTTGACTTCCACCCAGAATCCTTGGGTACTAGAATTTTGAGAGTATACATTCATATACCTGTAGGGAATATTTCAAATATCAATTTTGAGCCCCATTGTGATCATGCATTTAGGTATGACGACGTCCAAAGGGAAAGAAGCTAGAGATAAAAGAGTCGCCAATAAGTTTTAGAAACTTGTAAACCATTCACGGGTGTGAAGATTACACCCCATTCACAATCACGAAGATCGCTAACTTCATAGTGGTCCGGAACCATGACTGGATATTTAGGGATGATGGTATGAATCCAACCTAAAAGAGATTGAACCTGCCCTAATTCGGCATCTACTTAATTCTTATGATATTCATGTGCGCTTTCTGATCAACATACATACAACAAGTTAGCCCTAAAGCTGTTTAATCTACGTTGATTGATTATGAATGCACAAATAAATCTATTATTGGCGATCACTTGAATTAAAATCATATTAGCCTAAAACAAATTATTAATTATCTTATTAGGCGTGATTTCAAGTACAAATTTCCTTTAAACTTGCAAAAAGAGCGTGATAAAGCAATAACAATAAATCATGAATAATCAAGCAATGTATAATTATTGATATAACAATCATCATCATAATCAAAACATGATTAATAGCAAGATCCTAGACATGATACTAAACGGATTAACAACAAATCCTAGCATGTCACTAATAATAAAGATCAAAGTTTTAGCCTAAACATGATACTAGAACATGATATTAGAAATATTAGTTAATACCCTAAACATGATACTTGGAATCATAAAAGCATCCGTCCTAACATGATACTAGAAATCATAAAAGTATCCTAACATGATACTAGGAAATTAAAATAATATTCTAAGCATTATTTCTATATCAAAGGAATAAATAAGTAATCGAATTACTTACTTTGATGCCTCGTATCTCTTTCTATCAAAACAATACACACGTTAGTAACTTCAAGAAAGATGAAATCAAACAAATAAATCAAATAAGAATTGAAATACAGATTTGAGACCAAACCCTCAAAACTATCAACCTTTCACGTCGAGGTCGAAGGCAACTTCGAAAAGGGCTTGGAGTATTCAAGGCTTATGAAGGGAGTATGGTGTATAATATCAAGAAGGTGTTGGGATGTATTTAGGCTAGGGCTAAGGCTAGAAAGAGAGAAAAGATTTTAGCTTAAGGGATAAGATGATGATTGTTGGTGTCTCAAAACGGGGTAAAACGACATCTATATATAATGAAAAACAAGGGTCGAAGATCATAAAAGAGTCAGAATCTGACTCGAAGTAAAACGGGTTTCTATCACAACGCGATAGATTTATCGCTATGCGATATGCGTATCGCAGTGCGATATCTCTATCGCTTAGCGATACTTTTTGGAAAATAGAATCCGTATGGAATCCGACTTTCAATCAAATTGGGTTAATCGAATTTCCGAAGGTATTCTAATTTTATTAAAATAAATTCATTGAAAAACAAGTGCTTTATCCGAAGTAAAATTCTTAAATCTTTATCTTTTTAAAAATAGGATAAATTGGAATCTTCTAGAGGATTCTAGAAGCTAATAATAAATCCTAAGGAATTAAGGAATGATGTTTAAGGTTAATGGACCCTCCACATGGTCATTGGGTCGCTGGTAAGGCTCGGTTCGGGCTCGGTTTAGTATTTTGGCCATAACTTCTTCGTTATAACTCGGATTTGGGCTTATAATATATCGTTGTAAAACTCTTTTCAAACCCCATCCAAACACACAATAATTGGACCAGGATTATGGACTAAATGAATGATTTTCAAAGACACAAAATGAATGGTTTTGGGGTTAAAGGCACAAAATAAATGATTTTAGATTAAAACATTTAAGGAAAGATTAGAAATGGTCAAGGCTAAAGGGGAATTCACGAGACCCTTCAACTCTTCACCTAACTCGATAATCAAAGATGTGAAAGGTACTCATCACTAGGTTTGGTTTTTGGGGAGACACAATCAGTTGTCTACAATACTTAATTTTCCAAGAACAATGTGTATATAGAAGTTGAATCTTACTCAATATTCAAGCTGGGACTGGTCACTGGTACACTAGTCACTAGTGTAATTGATGTATTTCACTTAATTTTATTATTTTTTCCTTGATGTCAACAGCTTGTCTCGGGAGATAGGTCTCGCTCAATTTATTGATGAAATTTTTAATAGCATTTAAAAAGTCAATCCTCAAAAATACGGAGTAACCCTAAATATAACTCCGTACTCCTCAAAATCTTTTCTTTTAGTTGAGTCTGGTGGTTTAAGATATGAGATTTTAGCATTCTCATTCATCTCATGTCATACATGGACAACGTTAAGACTAGTAAGGACTTGATATAGAAAAAAATTCTATATTATAATTGAACATATCAATGATAAACTTGAAACAATTGCAACAAGTTTTCTTGTATTTTTTTTATATACATTTCTAATGTACTGTTTAGGACGAATCTTAGAGGGGTGGTTTCTAGGAATTTGCTTAAGATTTTAAGGGTATTAATAATCAATCATGCAATAACAATCAAAATAACAAGAAACAATAATACGAATAAGAGCTGAACTTTCAATAAAGAAAGAAGAGTAAGAATGACAATATTGAGTAAGGATAGCTTCCTTGATTAGAAAAGACTTGATTGTTATTATGTGACTTGCAAATATATTCGAGTATTAGAGTGTGAATGTGGCTGTACATATGTTCTTAGCTATTTATACCTAGGGATTGCTAGGGTTTACATATATTTACGAATATATTCGAAGGGGGAAGGTCTTCATGGTTGATTCTTCTTTCCTTCTTGATGCCTCTTATTTTTGGTGTGATTGCCTTATTGGTTTGTTGATTGATTTCGTTGCCTTATTTGTACCAATCAAGCCGTTGGTTTGATTCTCCCTTCTCTTGTCTTGATGTCTAGGTCTTCTTGGTGGTAGCCCTTTATTTTACAGGCCTATTGGAAATATGGGCCTAACAATTGCCCTTAATTTTTATGTTCAGTCTTGAAGATGAAAATTACTAAAAATCATCTGTTTTTCAAATTTAGAAAGTCCTCAACGGTTTACAAAAATAAAACGTGGAGGGCGGTTTTAAGGCAAGTGCTTTGGTAATCTCAATTGACATTTGCCTGGGGTATTTATTACTCTTACTGGCTTCAATCAAATCACTTTGCTTCTTTCAGTTTTCTTTTGAAATTCAAACTTAGGTAATTCTCTCTCCGTCTTTGTTTTCTCTGTTTCGATTTTTCTTCTTTTTGCTTGTTTTGCGATGGGGGATATGGTGAAAGTGGTGTTCGCTGGTGCTAAGGAGGGCGTGAAGAAGTCTATCTTCACTGCCCAGATGGTGTGCCCTGTTAAGGATGTTTATCCTTCACACTTGACGAAGGATGATGTGAGGAGAATTGCTACTGCTTCGCACTTTCCTGATGGAGTTGTAGTCAAGATTCCATCTTCTAAGGAGAGGGCGGACTGGACTGCCCCTGGTTGAGTGTGCTTCTTTGAGTATCCCTTTGTAATTGGCATACTTTTCCTTTTTCTCCCCTTGTTCGTCAATTTCTCTCTAAAGTTAGGGTTCACCTTGCCAATTGTTGCCCCAGACATGGAGAATTTTGCGAATTCTCGATTTGTTGAGTGATAAGTTGGGTATTTCGTTGGATGTGAGGGATCTTTGCTATCCTTACACTATTAGGACGAGTGGTAAGGGTCGGGTTACTCTTCGATTGAAAGATGGTATTGACCCTCTAGTGACTGATTTGGAGAAGGCTTTTGATAAGAAGTGGTATAACAAGTTTTTCTTTGTGAGGGTTGATTCTTTGGTTGAAGATACTTCTTTTCTTATTGACACTGTTGAGGCTTAAGGTATTTTATTTTCTAAATTTTTGTGTGGTTTTTTTTTGTTGATTTGGCCTTATTTGTGTTGAAATTGCAGTGAGCAAAAGCAGCGTGCTGAGTATCAGTCCTTGATTGATCGCTTGTACGAGTTGACTAATGAGGAGAGATATTTCACCAAGTTGACGCAGCCTGAAGCGGTTGTCCATATTAAGGATCTGGAGGAAGAAGATTCTGACAAGGAGATTGCCCTTGCCATGTCTCATGGTGTGTTTTGTCTTTCTCTATGTTTTCAAGGTTTTTGTTTTTATTGGCATGTATGTTTTTGTATAGTGTTGCTGCTATTTTTCTATGTGTTGTTAGTTTGTGTGTACCTTCTTTGTTGTGTGCTAAATGCTTTGTTGTGTTCTGAATGTCCTGTTGTACTCTGAAATGCCTTGTTTTGTTTTGGCTGGCCTGTTGTGTTTGTTGAATATATTGTTGTTTGCTTTGGTAGACAATACTAGGTCGTTAAGGTCCAGTGTTGCTCTTAGCTCCTCTTCAATTCTAGAGCGTAGTAGACAGAAAGCTTCGAAGGCTAGGGAAGACATTTCTCAGACTAGCCCGGGTGTGAAGAAAGCTCCGCTTCCTCATCCTCCTCGCGCGTCATGGGTCAAAGGGAAACTGGAGGTCCCTGTTGACCTCGAGGCTAAGTGTTTCTCTTATGACGCTCTTTCTCTTTATGTGGACACGTTGTCGTTTCCTTCTTTCAAAGAACGTCAATCCTCGCAGACCTTTGCTGACCTTTCTCAAGAGGCTGTTGTGACTTCCTTCCAGGTATGGTAACATTGGATTTGTTTGAAAAGAACCAAGGATGGCGTTCATTCAATCAAATCTTTTATGCTAACTCAAACTAATTACTGTCTTTGGAAAGAGTTGTTCCCCGCATTCTTTCCAAAAACTTTGCTTGGTCTCGGTTGATTTGCCTTCCTTTAGCTACTCAGATGTTTCAGTTCGCATCCAAGGCAAGAATGCCACTAATGGTGGTCATTTTAGCAACCCGGGGCAAATGTTTCTTCTATCTCGAAAGGGGTTCGACTCAATAT